ATGTATATATCTCAGAAAGACTTCCAGCTGCTGCAGAGTCCAGGACGGAGCAGGAGACGCAGACAGGCTCCGGTCCTCTGATGGACCAGAGAGAGGCCGAGGCCCGGAGGTCTGGATCCTCTGAGTGTCTCTGGCAGTGAATGAACGCAGGAATGCAGAAAATCAGAGGAATGCTGCCGGTGCAGCGCTGCTTTAAAATAGAGCGGCGCGCACACACACACATACACACACACACATACACACACACACGTGCATGCACACACACACGCACACACACACAGGACAGAACGTGTGTGTCCTCGTCTCTGTCAGGTTTTCAGGGTTTCTGGTTCTGGTTCTCGTCGGTTCTGAGCAGCAGATGTCACATCTGTGGACTCTGTGGTGAAAACCCAAAAGAATGTGTTTCCTGTTGGAACCGGAGCAGCTCGGTTCTGGAGCGTCTCGGGTTCTGTCCATCGGTGTCGGTCCATCCAGGTTCTCCTCTGACCACAAGAACCAGCGTGTGGATCAGACTAACACCTGGGTGTCTCGCCTGTCCAACTGCTGGGACACGTCTCCAGCAGACTATGTGTCTCATAGTTTCTTCTGCCACGGTGGACAGAGGACAGCGTTTAGCTCGGCGCTGGTCCGTTTCGGTTGAGAACATCCTTAACGGACGGAGGCCCGGTGGACCTCCGGCCTCGACTCAACTCAGGCTAGCTGCCGTCAAACGTGGACCAGATCTGACCGAGATCACAAACCAGATTTATTCAAACCTGACCCGGGTCTTTTTCTTCTGCAGGACTGGAGCGCTAAACAAAAGTAGCTAAATGCTAACTAACAGCCAATGTAGCAAGAGTGGCTAAAATATCAAAAGATAGCAAAAGGAAAACAGAAACCGAAGGCTAACTCAAAGCTAAACTGTAGCAACGGACTAGCTAAATGCTGCAAAAGGCAAGCTAAAAGTAGCTAGATAGAAACTAAAAGTGGCAAAGAGCTATAAGCTAAAAGCTGCAGAACACCAGCTGAAATGAAAAATAAAGAATGCGGAGTTGTTAATTAAAATGAGAGGCAATTAAAAAAACTTCAAAATATCATCTTGAGGGCCAGGTAAGATGTTAGAAAGGCCCAGATTTGGCCCGCGGGCCTCGACTTTGACACGCGTGACACCAACACATGATGCTAATGTTCGTGTCGGGATCAATTCTTGAGCTTGTTTCACTTTCAGTTTGTTGCTCCCGGTCCAGAAAAGTAATTCTGCACCGGAGGAGGCGGGAAGAACCAGAACATAAACAACCGGACCAAACGGATCAAAATTTAACCAGCTCTGATTGTACGACCACTTCAGAACCGACCCGTTCACACCAACACGTAGCATGTGAACACGGCGTACTGCGTTCTATGAACCACTAGAGGGCGCTCGGGTCACGTGACTCCTGATTCACTGCAGCAGCGGCGGCCATTACCAAAACAGTCAAAGGTCTCCAGCCGGCGTTTTGACTAGCTCCGAGTAAAGACTGACTGCGTGAAAAGTGTCGAGAAGAATAATAAAATGTTTATAATACATAACACTGTACTATAATAATAAAATGTTTA